GAAAGAGAAGATCTCAAAGTTCTTGCTGCAGAGGCGAAGGAAAAAACAGCAAAAGAAATTTCGGGGAATGGTACATGTGGTAAGAAGCAGACCAGAACGAATGAAAATCATATAGCTAAGGAAATCTTGGGTAAATATATAATTGATAGAGTTTCCACAAATAAAATTGACCAAAATAATGAAGCATTGTTATCTGATTATACTGGCTAATCACTGTTATTATGTTAAATGCAAGAAGTTTGATTAATAAAATGAGTGAATTCCAAGCAACTGTCTATACTTTACAACCAGATATTATTGGGATAACTGAGAGTTGGACTGCGGATAATGTATTGGATTCTGAACTTGAATTAGCTAATTACATACTTTTTAGGCATGATAGACCAATCAAAAAGCAAGGGGGAAGTGTGTTACTATATATCAAAACAGTATGGCAATTTGTTGTATATCAACCCAAGTCTAACTATCCTGAGCATATATGGTGTAGTATAACTGGTTTACAAAATGACAATCTACTAATTGGAGTCTGCTACAGAACAAACAATTTTGATATATTTGGTAAAGAAGTGGATAGTATACTGAGAGATCTTCTTCACGAAGTCAGTGTACATAGAAAATTGTTGATGGGTGATTTTTATTATGGAAATATTTACTGGAAGGGGTTGACTTGTTTGGCCATACTAGGTGCTTCACATGAAACTCAACTATTCTGTGAATGCATTCAAGATTTTTAATTCCACTTGTTTCTGAACCCAATAGAGATAAAGCTATTCTAGACTTGGTTTTTAGCAATGAACATGATTTGGTAAGCGATGTTGACAACCTCAATACATTGGTGGATAGTGATCATTCCATGATAACCTTCAACATCTGTATGAAATCAGCAGCAAAAAAAATTTTAGAACCATATTTGACTTTAATAAAGGAAAATTTGATTGCATTAGACAGGAGTTGCAAAAAAGCGATTGAAATTTAAAACTTGAAGAAAGCGCCCTAGATTATTGGTCAACTTTTAAATCAATATTACTTGACTTAGAATCAACGTATGTTCAACACCAATCCTAAGTACAAAAAACCCTTATGGGTGACTCGTAAAGTAGCTAAAGCAATCAAAAGAAAAAGGAAAATATATTCTAGACACAAAAACAAATCTCATCCTGCAGTGATTAGTGTAAATAAAAAATTTAAACGGTTAATTAGGAAAGCGAAGATTAACTTTGAGTATATACTGGCACGAAGTATCAAACATGGTTCTAAATCATTATTTGCTTATGCTAGAAGCAAAACAAAGTTAACAGTTAAAGTTGGAGTGCTGTTAAATAATAATGGTGTTAAAATTGATTGAGTTACTTGAATAACTGAAGAACTTAACAAGTACTATACATCTGTTTTCACTAATGAGAATATTGACATAATACCAGAATCTGAAGGTATCCTTAATAATATTGGTAGGGTGAGTGACAGCATGTTTACCGAGAATGATGTGCGGACAAAATTGTCTAAACTTAGAATAAATAAATCAGCTGGTGCTAATGATATAGGGTCAAGACTACTTTACAGTATTCAAAATGAAATTTGTGTTCCACTTTATTTGCTGTTTTGTAAATAACTTGATGATGGGGTGGTGCTAGATGATTGGAAAAGTAATTCCACTATTTAAAGGTGGTAGTAGATCAAACGTAGAAAATTACAAACCTGATAGTCTTACCAGTCAAATTTCTAAGCTATTCGAACCAATACTACGAGATTTTTTAGTCAGTTACCTTGAAATGAATCAAGCAATAGTAGACTCGCAACACGGATTCAGAAAAGGAAAATCCAGTGTGACCAATTTATTATTGTTTTTGGAGCAAGTAACAAGATTTGTTGACAATGGAGATTGTGTAGATGTGATATATTTAGATTTCGCAAAATCCTTAGATAAGCTTCCTCGTCCAAGGTTGCTAAAAAAGTTGTATAGTCATGGAATTGAAGGCAAACTTTTTTAATGGATAAGTTCTTAATTGATAAACAGAGTTCAACGAGTAGCTTTAAATAGAAAAAATTCTTCTTTTAGGAGAGTACTTAGTGGCATACCACAAGGATCAGTATTAGGTCCAATCCTATTTTTGATATATATTAATGATCTGGATACTGGTGTGACAAATGGTGTTAAAATTTTCTGACAATACTAAAATATTCTTTAAAGTTAATAACAGAAGTAATAATTTGCATCTCCGAGAAGAATTTCAAAAGCTTGTCAAGTGGTACGTTGAATGGCAAATGCAATTTAATGATATGAAATGCAAAGTTAAGCACTTTGGAAAAAAAACATTGGTTATGAATACAGTATAAACGGGGTTATTTTAGAAGAAATTGAGACTGAAAAAGACCTTGGGGTAGTAATATCAAATAATTTGAAAGCATCTAACCAGTGTATGAGGGCTTATGGCAATGCAAACAAAATTCTAGGAAAAGTGTATTATTATAGATTTTTTTGATATTATTATGCACAAAACACAATAACTTACGAGGTTTAACGTTTTCCCTTACCACTATATTTAAACTTTTGACCACCATATATACAGCAATACTTTATGAAATAATATTTAAATTCAGGTGCCATATCATATAGGTGCAACAATTATAATTTAATATTATAAAATTATATTATAAAAAATTATATTATAAAAAATATATTATAAATATTTTTTATAATATAATTATATTATAAAAAATATTTATAATATATTTACAAATTATATTATAATAAAATTATGTAATAAAAAATTATATTATAAAATTATAATATAAAATTATTATTTAATACATATATAATTTAATATTTAGGATCACATTAGAAAACTTTTTACATTAATTCCTCACGGTGCATAAGAACATGCTCTGAGACCTAGCAACACATCCCCAGAACTTTTTTTTGTTTATTTTTTCAAGACTCTTTCTTATTTCAAAAATGTAAAAACAACTTTTTTTACCGGTGACCTATGGAAAAATTACGTATTTTAAACGAGTGCCTAGTAATTTTGTTGTTCAAGATAGGAGCTATGTGGCTTACTAAAATTTTTAGTATGTTAATACTGGTATCAAATGAGGATGACGAGTAAAGACTTTAGACAATTTGAGCTAACCCAACCCTGTCCCGACCCCTAATTTCCCCCTTCTAGAACTACGTCTCCTAAAATAATAATTTTTTTAAAAAGTTTTATCATAAAATAGACCAAATTTATCTACAAATTTCAAGTTTCATCAAAAAAAAAATTTTCGTTTAAGATTTATAACTATAAGAAGTTTAAAATTTTACAAAAAATGGACAATACAAAATATAAAATACAAAGAGTGAAATAACTTTTAAACTAGGAACTCTTTTTCCATGAAATTTGAAATCTGTCGATAAATTTTAATTTAGTTTAATAAAACATAAAAGATTTAAAAAATTTGTTTTAGTAACCATAACCTAGGGATTAGGGGAGGTGAGGGTGTTTGGGATTGGCGATCTCCTCTAACACCACAAAATTGCATTAAAAAAATATGCCCTCGAGCATTTAATTCGAGTTTCAAAAGTGAAATTGCAAATTGAAATATTAATTACTTACTACTATTGCTATTACAGTTATTACTAATTAATAAAATTACTAATTAATAAAATATTTTGTTAAAATATTTTGCATTTGCTGCTTCAGGAAACGCAAGGATTTAAGACCTATAAACAACGACGATAACATATATAATTCTAAATAAAAAGAAAATAGACTATTCAAACCTTATCAAAACAATATTCTGGAAAGATTATTCAGCTAATAACTTTGCTCAAAATGTAGAAAAAAGTTTGCTGGGACTGACCCTTACTTCACTATGCGACCGTATTATGAAGGTAAAATATATATATTCATATATTTTAGTTAAAATTTAGTTACGTTATTATGGGATTGTAAGATCAACATCCCCTACAATGCAAGGAAAAGTTCTGTTTAGTTCTATTAAAAGCTTGGCCACAAATGAATCAGGGAACACTTTAGCTTTTAAAACTTTTGGTTCAAAGCAACTTGTTGTCTCTGAACAACAGAGGTTAAAAAACCTTTCTTTTCTTTGGATATATTAAACAAACTTCAACTAAAACTACATACCAGGTAAGGTTTTGATGCTTAAAATTTTTTTCATAATTTACTTTAGAATTTATAGCCAATTTTTTACATAATTTTGTTATGACTTCTAAGTAATCGCAAAATGATTGAAGTTGTACACTTTCTGAGAAGTGAAGGAGGACGGAAAAGTGTGGAATCGGGTTTCCATATTAAACTGACTGAGAGCAACCAGCTGATTGGAAAATTATTCAATGGTGATAAATTCCCATTATTATTAGGATTAAATGAAAACAAAGAGGTAAGTAATCTGTTGCCTACAATTTTTTTAAATAATTAGAATGCAATCTGAATCATTCATTTTGAATTTTTATTCAAAAATAGTTGGTAGAAAAAGACCCTATTGCAATGTATTGCAATGACGTTAAAGAGCTTGTAGCAATGGTGTTTCATCACAGACATCAAGAAACAAATGATGCTGATATCATATTAGGTGTAGATGGAAAATAGGGATTTCTTAAAGTTACTCTATCAATCACTCCCTTACAAAAAAACCCAGCGAACTTCCAGCGAAAGTTCGCTGGAAATTAAAAGATCACTGGAAATTTACTAAGATCACTGGGTTTTCGCTGGATTTCATAAGACTTATACATAAGATATATACATAAGACTTCGATATATACATAAGATATATACATAAGATATATACATAAGACTTCGATATATACATAAGATATATACATAAGATATATACATAAGATATATACATAAGACTTCGATATATACATAAGATATATACATAAGATATATACATAAGACTTATACATAAGACTTATACATAAGATATATACATAAGACTTATACATAAGATATATACATAAGACTTCGCTGGAAGTTCGCTGGAAATCCAACGAAAAACTTCCAGTGATCTTAAAGTTCGCTGGAAGTTTACTGGGTTTCTTGCGTAATATTTCGCGGTGATGTAAAAAGCGTTGCTGTTACAACTTCTGCAAGCAGTTAAAACTTGGAAAATTGATAATATAGCTTCTTAAAATAATATTTCAAATTTTTGTATAAAAGTAATCCTTTTTATTTTATTTTTTGCATCTAATAGATGATCTATAGTGTGAGTTTCAATTATTATTAGTTCTACTCAAGTTACAAAACAAAATCATCTGGTATGTTGCTCAAAATGTTTATTTCTCTTAAGTATTGTTTATTATGCATTCGCTTTATGCGAATGCATTTTATTTATTAAATTCAAGTTTATTATTTTATAAAAATAATTTTTATAAATGTCTTTATGATTAAGTATTTTATATTAAAAATAATAAATAACAATCTGTTTCTCTCTCTCGCTGAAAGAGAGGGATATATAATATATATCCCTCTCTCTCTCTCAGTATATATATATATATATATATATATATATATATATATATATATATATATATATATATATATATATATATATATATATATATATATATATATATATATATATATATATATATATATATATAATATATATATATATATATATATATATATATATATATATATATATATATATAATATGTTAGTGTATTCTACAAATAGAGTGCTCAACGTTCTTAAAGAACAGAGCAATAATAAATTAGTATATATATATATATATATATATATATATATATATATATATATATATATATATATATATATATATATATATAAATATATATATATATATATATATATATATATAAATATATATATATATATATATATATATATATATATATATATATATATATATATATATATATATATATATATATATATATATATATATATATAATATGTTAGTGTATTCTTTATAAGAAATGCAGTTATTTTCATATTTTAAACATAAACAAACAGCATAAAAACATGTGTGATAACAATTGGATACATTTAGCAAGTCTTGAAGAAAATGTGCAAGCAACAATTAGACTTGTTGTTAATACTGATGGAATTCCTGTTTTTAAATTATCAAAGTGGACCTTGTGGCCTTTGCTAGCATCCATGCATAATTTTCCATATTCATTGCAAATTACTAATATTTTGTTTTTTGGTTTCTGGTCCAGTTTTAAAAAACCAAACGTGCAATTATTTTTATCTTGTTTTGTTGATTTTTTACTAACCTATCCACTACTGGTATACTCTTATCTAATAATGTTCGTGTTTTTTTTCATGTATCTATTTTTTTGTGTGATACAATTGCAGGAGCTATGGTTTTTTGTTGTAGGTAGTTTAATGATTATAATGGTTGCCATTGGTGTTCTTCTCAAGGGGTAAGAGTTAAAAAAAGGTAGGAGGTCTTGTATGACTTATCCATTTTCTGATGTTAATGGGAGTTGTAGAAACCATACAGATTTTTTTTGGATTAATGTGATTAAAGGGTTTTTAGATTTTTCTACATTTGTAAGAGTACCTAATTTTAATTGTGAAAATGGAACAGTTGTTAATAATCTGCACTGTATTGAGCTTGGTGTTATGAAAGCTATGTTTTCTTTCTGATTTGATAGTTATTATTCTGGTTATATTTTTTCTATTAGAAGACACTGTACTGTTGTAAATAATCTTTTATCTGCAATCAGTGTGCCAAGCAATATAAGACAGACTCGATGATCATTAAGTTGTATAAAGCATTGGAAAGGTATTGAGTTTTTTACTTTTTTAGTTTTTTATGGTCCTGTTATTTTATGTGATGTTTTGCCTCCTCAGTTTTTTGACCATTTTACTCTTTTATCTAATATTGTTTTTACGTTGAACAATAAGGTATTATCTGAAAGTGTAATTAATGAAGCCACATTATTAGTTAATAGATTTTTTTATGAGTTTTCTGATTTGTATGGTAAAGAAAATATGTTTTATATTAAAGAGTTATTTTAAAGCAGTTATATATATACAGAGCTTTTTTTAAAGCAGGTATTATATTTTAATGCATTTTTTATTTAAGTAAACTAAAATCTTTCTCTCTCTCTCTCTCTCTCTCTATATATATATATATATATATATATATATATATATATATATATATATATATATATATATATATATATATATATATATATATATTATGTATGTATGTATGTATATATATATATATATATATATATATATATATATATATATATATATATATATATATAAATTTTATACAGTATTTATTATATGTTTTTATAAAATTGTTATTGATGTCCTTTAAATATTGTATAAACCATCTTTTTTTTTTTAGCTTTAAAGACCCAAACATAAATACTTTTAAAGTCAATTTTCGCAATTCTGTTTGTTTTGTTATGCTAATTTGTCAGTAGAGAACCAACAGACCACTGACTTCATAATTTTTCCATCTAAAATTATACTAAAATATCCTAATAAATACAATTTGAATTAGATGATATAAGTTATCAGAGAAAGTAAACAAAGTACACTTATTCGGAATAAAAAATGTAACTACTGCCATTTGGTTCTCGACTTTTTTGAAATGGGCTAAAAAACATGCTTAAGCATAATATTGCCTATAAGATATACTTACTGCAATATTTTTCTTTTTCACTAATATACAGGTTTAAGTTTTGCTTTATAATGACTATTATGTTTTTTACAGATTTAAATATCTATATCAGTACAGAAAAGTAGAGCTGTATGATTTTTTGTTTTGTTGATTTAAACAGTTAAAAATTGTAAAGTTCCTTACAAAAAAAAAACCAGAAAACTTCCAGTGAAAGTTTGCTGGGTTTTTAAATTAAAATTATTTAGTTATTATAATAATTGATTATATATATATATATATATATATATATATATATATATATATATATATATATATATATATATATATATATATATATATATATATATATATAAAATTAAGTTTTTATTATTTTATCTATAATTATTATTTTTATGCAGGATAAAAGTGATAAAATGCTATTGGTTGGAAATTGATAAATTAATAAAAAATGATTGATTCTAATTGCGCGAAAATATGTTGGTATGTTTTTATCTATCTTATACTGTTTTATTTTTGCTTATCATTTCACATTTTGTCTTATTTTGAATATTATGTTTTATATAATTATTAGTTAGTGTTTGTAAAACACTAACTAATTTTGATTGCTTTTAGATTTTGGATACTGCCTCTACCATTAACAAATTAAAAATAAAAGAAGCACTTCATATTAAATGGGAAAATCCTAAATATAAATTTATCTAACTAACTTACTACATTATTATTGTTATTTTAATATTAGGAGGTTTATTTTGTCATAATTTGTAATAAAATTTTTAATTGATTTGTAGCAAGTTTATTTGTCCATTAATTTTTTCTCTGTATTGTCTTCAGTTTTTAAATTTATTTACCAGAATATATATATATATATATATATATATATATATATATATATATATATATATATATATATATATATATATATATATATATATATATATATATTAGTAGAAAGTCACTTAATAGAAAATTTTTTAAAAGTTTTCGATGTAACAGTGTAAAATGAAAAAAAAATTTTTGTTAAGTAATTTTCTACTTATTTATAATTGCTCTGTTCTTTTAAGAACATTGAGCATCTATTTTGTAGAATACATTTTGAATATTGTTTAAATATATATATATATATATATATATATATATATATATATATATATATATATATATATATATATATATATATATATATATATATATATATATATATATATATATATATATATATATATATATATATATATATAAATATATATATATATATATATATATATATATATATATATATATATATATATATATATATATATATATATATATATATATATGTTCTTTATTTATTGTATGCATTCTTTTTTTTTTTTTCTTTTTTTTTTTAGCTCTAAAGACCCAAACCGAAAAGAATGCCTAAAGTGGTTTTCAAAAGATGAATTGACGAATTTCTTAATTCTTTTTGTTTCGTTGCGATAATTTGTCGTATGAGAACGCTAACGAGAAAAAACTTTTTAAATATAGAAACATGCGTAATATAAAGTTTACTTATGCCTATAAAAAAATATGTTTTACATTAATTAATAAATTAACTTTTTAGTTTATTGTTAAAAATTGTATTCTGTATTGAAGTTTATTTCTGAGAATTTGTAATTATACCTAAGATAATCTAATCCTACATTGTATTTTAATTTATAAAACTCGATATTTTAAAATAAATATATTACTTTTTTATCGCGCTTAACTTCTCTTATTTCGCGTTTATTGGTTAAAAAATTTTAAAATGTTTATAAACTTTTGAAACTTTTATAGCAAAAATATAAAATCTTTTTAAAAAAAACTTTCAGCGAATCTATTTTTATACATAAACATGAAAATTCGCTAGAAAAGTTCACTGGAAGTTCGCTGGGTTTTGGAACAAGTTCGCTGGAAATTTCCAGCGAACTTCCAGTGATCTTTAAAGATCACTGGAAAAGTTCGCTGGAAGTTCGCTGGGTTTTGGAACAAGTTCGCTGGAAATTTCCAGTGAACTTTAGAGATCACTGGAAAAGATCACTGGAAGTTCGCTGGGTTTTGGAACATTTTTTCACTGGAAGTTCGCTGGGTTTTTTTGTAAGGGCTCTAAAACCAGAGTTAGAAAATAATAAAATCCCAAATAAATTGAGATAGTGTGACGGATTTGCGTTCAAAGATTTCAAAGATACATAAAACTATTATACTGGCCATTTTGCCTTTATTGAACAAAAAATACATAACCAGCGGATTATTTGGATAAATTGAATATTTCTTCTTTAGATTAAACAGTATCTGAAGATCTAAAGATTTGGCTTCAATTAGTTGGAAAACAAACTGCAGCATCAAAGCGTTTTGCATGGCCTCGTCTCCTAACTTTCAAAAAGCTTATTACTCTTTAGAACCTTTGTGAAGACGACCAATGGATATCTGATGGTGCAAAATTAAAAAATGCAAAAGTTTTCACAAATGTTGTTAAACCCCCCTTATTAACAGGGGACAAAAATAAATAAATAATAGAGCTTGTAAATATTCCCAGTCTACATATACTTTTAGGTGTTATGGACAAAATTTTAAATGAGATTGAAAAATATTTGTTTGAAAACGAGGATTGTGGGTTACAGTTTGTCAACCAATATCTGTCTACGATAAACATCTGCAGAATACCCTACCAAGGGCAGCATTGTTTTAAAGGCAATGCTTGCAATAAGTTTTTTGCTTAAAAACATTTGACTTGTTTTTTCTGGGGTCCAGTCTAGGAGATCCCGTATCCAAACTTTAAGGTACTTAGAGATTTTGAAGATACACATAGTTAAGCAACATATTATCGAATTCATCGACATGAAAGGTCGAATCTTAGGTATGATAAATAAATTTTAAGTTTGACAAAATATTAAAATAATATTATTTAACAATAATAAAAGTAATTAAAAACTTGTTATTATCATAATGTAAAAAAGTAATTAAAAACTATTGTATTATTATCATATTACAACAAGTTTACACAAGTTTAAACTTGCATAAGCTACGAAGTTCATTAAATAGACTAAAATATTTTGTGCATTTTATATTATGTGGGCTTTTGTTATTGAACCGAACAAGCTCTCGAATCCTTTCACTAGTATTTCAATCAGTTTTTGTGAATAAGTTGAAGAACACAGCCCAAACTACATTAAAGCGCTAAAAAACGCAGTTGTCGCTTATAAGCGACAACTGCGTTTTTTAGCGCTTAAAAGTGTTTGTGGTTGAATACAACTACAAACACTTTTAAAGTAGCTTTCTAAGGTAGCTATAAAAAAGTATAATATTAACCTTTAATGAACAATTGTTTAACATAATTTCTTTATATATGATATGATGATATATGACATCCCGACAAGAAAGGTATATGTAGCCCATATGTGGTCATAGTGCTTTCGTGTGGATTAAAAGTTCAAAAATATATTACAGTTAATGAATGACGTATTTGATGAAGATAAGTGCGGCCCACTTGTGGAACACATAATGCGGTTCACATAACTATTCCACTTAATGTGGCATAATCCTTAAATAAATACGTGCTAAATTTGATGTGGCTATCATATGGGCCATACATATAAAACTCACGATCTTGCCTTATTTTGAATTTTATATTTTAACCAATTATAATAATTCTATCGCAATGCATTGTAAACTCTAGAATATTCCATGATATCATGTGGTTTACAGTTTTGAAAATTTTCCATTCATAGCTGTTGTTATTTTTTTGTTTGAGCGATAAAAATAAATGTATATAAAAGAAAAAGTGTAAATATATTAAATAAAAAACAAAAACCTAGGTGTCTTACGACTTTTACTTATTGTAATATACAATTTGTTATTTTGAATGATCTTTAAAAAGTTTTAAATTGTTAGTACGCTTTTAAGATTTTATAAACCCACCTGCGAAAATGTTTTTAAAACACCAACATATAATTTTAAATAAATCTAATTATAATTATCAATACAAATTTGCGTTAATATATTGCGATTTGGTATATTTGTATATTTAGTAAATTTTTTTTCTTCTTATGATAATTTTGTTTTTTATAGTGTTTCTTTGGTTACGTATAGGGCAAACTGATAGGATATAATAATTCGATAGATAAAATAGTGAAGGAATAAATATAATAAGAAAACGCATTTATAATGAGGCTAATATTAAATTATTTAAAGAACAAATATCATTACTGCATTGGAAAAACATAAATTTTGATAATAACACAAATAATATTTATGAAACTTTTTTCAAAACATTTTTTTCTGTATATGAAGTTAATTTCCCAATAGTAGAAAAAACAATAACAAATAAGAATATTAATACACCCTGGATTACTAAAGGTTTTAAAAAATCATCCAGAATAAAACAAAAGTTATACATAAATTTTTCAAACAAAAGCTTCAAGCGAAAAAATCTATAAGAACTACAAAAACCTATTTGAAAAAATTCGCAAAAATTTAAAGAAAAATTATTACTCCCAATTATTCAATACATTTAAAAACGACACAAAGCGCACGTGGCAACTAATGAAAGAAATTATTGGCAAAAACAAACCATGCTCCGGTTTTCTGCCACAAATGGTTAGAGTCGATAACAAAAGTTTATATGAACAAAAAACTATAGCTCAAGAATTTACCAAATATTTCACTCATATAGGACCAACACTGTCTGGAAAAATCCCTAAGACCAAACCTTTGTTTACTAGCTATCTAGAACCCCTGGATAATTACATTTGTTCAGATAAGCTATCTTCCGAATTAATGTTTGATGAGTTTGAAAGAGCCTTTAAATATGTTTAAAAAAATAAAGCAATTGGAGCAGATCAAGTAAATGAAAACGTGGTTTTAGATTGCTATTAAAATCATTAGGGCTTCTATCCGTCAAGGAGTATTCCAAGGAGTATTCCTACAAACATTATTCCTATTTTTAAAGAAGGGGAAAATCTGAAATCAGTAATTATCGCCCTATCTCTGTTCTCTCCACATTTTCGAAAATTTTAGAAAAAATTATGTTTAACAGAATATACAAATATTTTCATGATAATAATCTACTTTACATCAATCAATTTGGTTTCAAGAAAAATAACTCAACTGAACATGCAATTATTCAATTTGTACGTGAAATCTCAAAAACATTCGAAAAATCACAATATACACAAGGAATTTTTATTGACCTATCAAAAGCTTTTGATACGGTCGATCACCATATTTTAATTTATAAACTCGAATACTACGGAATAAAAAATAAAATTTTAAAATGGTTTAAAAAATATCTATCTAACCGAAAGCAATTTGTACCATTTAACAATGATTACAAACCCTCTTTTCTTAATATAACCTGTGGAGTCCCACAAGGTTCAATTCTTGGACCTCTCATTTTTTTAATTCATATAAATGACTTTAATAAAGCTTCAAAACTAACAAGCATTGTGTATGCAGATGATACAAATTTATTCCTTTCTAACTATGATATCGATGATCTTTTTAAAACAGTGAACAAAGAACTCAGACATATATCTAATTGGTTCAAGTGCAATAAGTTAACCTTAAATACTAATAAAACAAAATGGGTTTTATTTTATTCGATTACAAAAAAGCGATTTCTCCCATCAAAATTACCTCAAATCTTTATCGATCAAAAGGAAATAAAAAGAGATTTTGTGACAAAATTTTTAGGTGTTTATCTTGATGAAAACATTACTTGGAATAACCATATTGATTACTATATAATAAAAAATTTCTAAAAACATGGGCATCCTATATAAATCACGAATCTATCTCAATAAGAAAGTCTTAATCGAACTTTATTATTCATTTATGCATAGTTATTAAATTATGCCAATATTGCTTGGGGAAAGTACAGAAAGAAGTAAGTTGCAACGTCTTTATCTCCGTAAGAAACGCGCAATTCGTATAATCAATTTTGCAAATCGCTTCTCTCATTCAAAGCATTATTTTATTGAAATGAGAATTCTGAATATTTACGAGTTAAATGTGTTTAATATTTTATGTTTTCTGTGTATGTGGATAAATAATCTTTCCCCAAAAATCTTTTCTCTTTTAAACGTAAAAATACAGGAATACAGGTTTTCTCTCCCAGTCTAGAAAGGAGATCAATTAGATATCAGAATGTTATCAAAACTTTCTCAAGTTATGATATCAAATAATGATATCATTATGATAACATAATGATATCACAACTTTAGTAGGGTTAGCTTAGTTTATATTGGAGTTTTTGGGAAACAGACAAATAACCGAAAAACAAAATCCGATTTATAGCCGAATGAACAAATTTCGTATTATAGTCGAAAAAAAATAAGATTTTGGCACGTTCTACAAACAGTCGACGAAAAACACGATTTTGACGTAGTCTGTGATATAGTCGAATGACGTATTTTGTTTTTAAACGAACTATGACGAGGTTTGACAACTACCTGAATTGATAATTTTGTCAAATACAGTCAAATAATCGAAATAAAACCTGTTCCGATAACCAGTCGAATTTTTTTCTAACCGAATTTATTTGGACAAACATTTATAAATCGTCGAAAAATGAAATTCGACTATTTGTCATGACGTGTTCTGATAAATAATCGAACTGTTTTATTTTGACCAAGTCTGTTAACCAGTCGAAATTAATATTCGGCTATTCTCTGTGGCTGCCACATAAACCAGTCGACGGCTATAAAAATTTGGCAGCGTCATCAAAAGAGCCGAATTTAATTAAACCCCTCCAAACCATCGTATTTCGACTATAACTTGTACGTATTTTGAGTCGAAATTATATTTCAGTTCTAGTGAAACTACTCCGGATTGCGAGAATATTCACGATCCTAAACCTTTGTAAAAAAATAAGACGTGATTGACAGTTAAAACAAATTTTTGTATTTCAAAAAAAACCTCAACATGATGAGGAAAAAAAATTGATTATCACAAGGGTCTCATTCTCATACGTATATAAAAAAAACCTCATTCCGAAATGAGGAAAAAAAGTTCACGGGTCTCATACTTTCTCATACTTCACAAAGGTCTCATACGTATACAAAAAAAACCTCAGAAATGAGGAAAAAAAATTCCAAGAGTCTCTGTATCTTTTGTTTTATCCGTTCCAGAACGAATATCCTCCATCCTGATTATCGAATCCAGACACGAACAAACGATCGGGCACCTCAAATTGTCGACACGATTTAGACCTGAAATATTTAGGAAAAGTTGTTTAATTGTTATGTAACTAACTAAAGATGCAAACGTTTAAACGCAATATTACTTTTTTTAAATGTTCAATTACTGTAATACTGTAATATTGACTACTAATGTAATTGGAAAATAGAACGTTGTGCGTTACCTCAACCAATTAAAGTCTGGATGAGAGGAGAGACGTTTCCGGGTCCAATCGAGCGGGTCCAATCGAACGGGTCCAATCGAACGCGTTGAATGATGATCTGAAACCGAATTTTAAAAGTATTAAGTTTTAGAATATTGGTTCAGAGATACACGGGACCCATGTAAACAGTGTTTATTCACAAAATGTCTTCAGTATTAATAACTGGTAGTATTTACCTCTTATTTTTTTTTGATTTTTCATTAGAAGAAGGAGGTAGAAGTGAGCCACAGTGAAGTGAAGATCCGGATTAGCCTGCAACAAAATAATGTAAAATTCTACCAATCCAATTGATGATTAGCATTATAACACGAACAAAGAATCAAAGAAAAACCATCAAGTAATACTAAATTGCAACTAATAAGTATGATGATTATAATTAAACCAATAAGTTTGATGAATAACATTATAAGATCGTGAATATTATCTCAATCTTTGAAAATTTCTATCAAATTATGTTAAAAATTACCGGTTAAAAGGTTGTAGAGCGTGCGTACTGCGGCTTTACGTAGTTATTCTACGTTTTAATTAACATCTTACAATCTTTTTTGGGTTTTTTGCTTTTTATAATTTTTTCGGATTTTGTATTTTTAAATTTTTTTGGATTTTGTATTTTAAATTGTTTTTGGATTTTGTATTTTTAAATTTTTTTGGTTTTTGTGTTTTTTGAATTGAATGGAAAGAAATAAACAAAGGGAAAATGATTGAAAAAGAAGCGAATGAAAAGAAGAAATGAAATAAATTTAATTGAAAATAGAATTTGCGGGGGCGAAATCTGCGGCATCAGGTAAATCTGCGGCAAGTAAATCTGCGGCAAGATGTTCCCTAAGCGGGCTGGTGTACTTGGGACGGGCCCTACTACCGTCATAAACAAGTTTAATCAGGTTATAGGCGTCCACAAGACACCTGCCCACAGAATTTGCCAAAAGTAAAGTCCAATTAGAGGGTTTGAGTTTCCCAATGTGTTCACGAATTTGCGGGTCCAAAATTTTTGAAAATTGATAGTGACCATAAGTTGACAAAATGTCTTGTTGAATTGCGGGAGGAAGGTCTGAAGCTGACCGCCATGTTGCAGTGCGGGGAGGTAACGGCAAAGCCTTACCCTTTTTCCCTTTCCTCCCTTTCCCTTTCCCAGCCTTTCTAGGATTCAAAATTGAATCTCTAGAAGTATTCGAAGCGTCCGATTCCTCGTCAGAAGAGGTCGACGAGTTGGACGGGGTAGTTTTGCGGTGCTTTTTGCTTTTGCTTTTGATTTTGCTTTTGATTTTTCAATTGTTTCGCAGTGGAAGCTATTAAAGTTCCACCACTTGTTTGGAACACGCTGGGCCGTTATAGTTTTGAGGGAAGATAGAAATATTTTACGTAAGTGCTAGAGAGTGCTAGAGTTATTATAATATTAGGACAGATGTCCAGTATAAAGAGGTGAGGTTCAGAGTAGGATATTGTCCAGTGTCCAATTCAGTGTAAGGTGCCTGTTGTAATAATGTCCTGTCAGTTCCTTTTTAGTTAGACTCAGTTTAGTGATGTTTTATTTAGTTTAGTTTAGTGATGTTTTATTTAGTTTAGTGATGTTATCCGAGTTGTGGTAGTTAGTGTAATTTTCGATAATGCATTTTAACTGTTTCAGTAGAAAAATATTTGGTTTTCCTACTTTTAGTTTTATTAATTAAATTAATTTTTGATTAAATGAATACCGTTTTAGTGGAGATATTCGTTTGCCTCCAATTTTAGTATGTAAATAGCCCGTTTTAGTAAAAAACTACGTTTGTACCTAATTTTAGTTCATAATTAATACCGTTTATATGGAAATATTCGTTTTTTCCAATTTTTTGTTTAAAATTATTCCCGTTTTAGTGGAAATATTCTATTCCCTCAACATTTATTTGGTTTTAGTAGAAAGATGCGTATTCCCCTAATTATAGTTTATAATTAATACCGTTTTAGTAGAAATATTCATTACCCCCTAATTTTAGTTTATAAATAATACCGTTTTAGTGGAAATATTCGTTTTCCTCCCATTTATAGATAAAATTAATACCGTTTTAGTGGAGATATTCGTTTGCCCCCAATTTTAGTTGTAGATAGCCCGTTTTAGTAAAAATATACATTTGTCCCTAATTTCAGTTCACAATTAATACCGTTTATATCGAAATATTCGTTTTTTCCAATTTTTTGTTTATTATTATTACCGTTTTAGTGGAAATATTCTATTCCCCCTTTTTTTGGGTTTTTGGTTTGGTTTTAGTAGAAAGATGCGTATTCCCCTAATTATAGTTTATAATTACCGTTTTAGTAGAAATATCTGTCCCCCCCGTCTAGAACTTACATTACCTTGTTTCTATGATTTAGTGTTATCTTTTTATACATAAATAATTTAAATTTTTATTATTTTTATTAGTACCGACATTATGGTAGCTGATTACGTCATAATAACTTAGGGAGCTGTGAGAGCTTCAGTCCAACCTTCGACTGATTTAGGGTGAACACGTAAGGGAGTATCTCCCTGATCTAAGGGTTTGGGTTATGGCTGCGATAGTATTTTATAATATATACAACTCTAGGTTTGCCTGGAATAATAGAGATGTTATCGAAAATAAAATATAGACTAATAATGGTAATGTAATAACAAATAATATCATAACACAGTTAGTATAATAACCTATTATATATAATAAACAACCATTCCTAGACAGTAAAGTGACGATTTATAAGTAAATATATTAAGAACAAGTTCGCGCGAATTTACTTAAAGAACAGATAATAAAAGCATATCAGTGTTGAATAAATTCGTAAATTCGTAAATTATGTAGTTGGGTATTTTACATTGGGTAAACAGAGGGTACGATTCGTTCTATATGGTTCTCTGAGCTGCCGCCGAGCACGGCTAAATTCTGAACTGCGTATTAGTTATTTAATTTGTACTCATTCGACTGCATCTTCTGATGCGGTTCAGCTACTTCAGTCCCTGTGTAAGATGCTAGTAAGGAGGACCAATCACCAATAGGTAAACGAATCGTATTTTTATTGGGTAAACCGAGGGTACGATTCGTTCTAATTGGTTCTCTGAGCTGCCATCGAGCTCCGCTGAATTTTTAACTGCACATTAGCAGTCGATTGAGTCATTACTCATTCTACTGTGTCCTTTCATGCTGTTCTGCCAGTTTATTCCTTGTATAGGGCTTCAGCAATTGGAACTTCTTGCCAGTAGGTAAATGAACCGTATTTGCTTCGGGTTACCCAACTGTACGGTTCGTTCTAATTGGTTCTTCTGGCTGCTGTCCAACATGGCGGAATCTTAAACTGCATTATAGTGATCAATCTAGCTATTACTCATTCGACTGCATCTTTTGATGCGGTTCAGCTACTCTAGTCCCTGTGTAAGGTGCTAGCAATGAGGACCGATCACCGATTGGTAAATCGGTCAGCTGTCTTCTCTAATGCTGCTCTGTGAGTTTAACCTTTGGGTAAGACCATAATAATAAGAGCTACTGTGTGTATGTATGAAAGTATGTATGTGTGTGTATGTATCTGGGTGGGTTCATACATTTATGTGTGTCTATCGATGTATATATGTATGGCTGTATCTATGTGTGTATATGTTTGTGTGCATATGTACATGTGTGTCTTTCTCCGTAGAACCCTCAAACAGCTGACACGACACCGACCAACAATAAAGAGGACATTATCCCTACACCATGCCCCAATATTAAAATAAACGACAGGACACCGAGCAACGAGGGAAGTAAAGAGGGATTTGTCTCCACACTATGCCCCGAAAGAAAAACTAGGGGGACAAGAAAAATGCGCGGAAGTAACATTCGCAGGGCTGCAAAGCAGCAACGAGAAAATAGGCTGTTGATTGCCGCCTTCTTGAAAGACGAAGGGTCAGCATCGGGAATTGATGTTCTGCAAAATTAGGTTTTGAAATATAATAGTGCTCCAAGAATCTGTTTTTTAATGAATATTTTTTACTCGTTTCTTTAAATTTGTCTCTTCCAAACTCAGAACAACAATCATAAAACACCTAACAATTTTGTCAACCAATCGGCTTGCATTTAAGAATCACATAAAAATCTTCTTAAATTTTACTCAAAACGCATATTTTCTATTGTTTCCACTTTTCACCATTTTACCGCAACTTACGTCATACATGTGATGCACTTTAGTTTTTTAATTTGCACATGTTATGAATTCTCTTTTCTCGTTTAACAAAGCTATGGTAAGGTTAACTTTATCTTCTTTTGATTTATTATTACTTATTTTAATGAATAACAGCTCATAATTTTCGTATTTTATATTTTTTGTTTTGAAATTATTACTTAGCCATGTACTTAGCCTTATACTAGGACTCAATTATACATGTTTGGCTTTGATTTAGTATTATCTACCTATTTACATAACATAAATTCTTGTAAGTACAATGACTTCATATTATTATGTTCGAGTACTGAGTAGGTTATTAGGTTTTATATATATATATATATTTTTTCCCCTTAAGGGTACATGTGTCGCGTTGTATTTGTATGGGTCATCTCAGATTTTAGCTTTCGTCTAATTAATTCCCAACACTTTTGAAGTCTGTGGTTGAACGTTGAAAATAGTCTACCACAATTTGTACTTAAAAAAAAAATTAGTTACCAACAATGAAATAGCAACCATTTTCGTGACGGCTTTTGATGTCTGTGGTTGAACGTCTGCATTCGAATTGAGGCTGGACAACACCGTTGAGGAGGTCGAAGCTCAGGCACCTGTTGCAATGGAGGTCGAGGAGGTGGAGGCTGCGATGCCGATGGAGGTCGAGCCTCGACAAGCACCAGAGGCTCAAGTGCAAGAACCAGTGGTTGGGCCAGCTCGCTTTCATAATTTTGTTGAAGTCCGGAACTACGCCAGATATGAAATGGAAGGCTCCCCAACTATCTGGTTCGACGAGTTCCAAAAAGCGAATGTGCTGTCGAAGGATGGCACAGACGCTCGACCAACGACTTATCTAAAGTGCCATCGCTACACGGTGAAAAGAGGTAATTTTTAATTGTTTAATAGGATACTTTTTTTAACTCGTGAAAATATTCACGATCTTAGAATTATTATCATTACCATTATCATGATTGTATCTTAACATTTAACGGGATCCCCATTTAACCCTGTTAGGTTCATGTGGTGGTACTGCAAGGATTAAAGACGATACCCTGTACCTGGGGAAGGATCACTCATGTGGCGACATAAGTGATGAGTACCTTATTTTGCAGGCCAAGGCACGGATGAAATTTCGAGCTGGTAATATTTTGTTTTTGAATTTTTTATTAAGCCATATTTCGACTGAAAACATATGTCTGCCAATGTGAATAATCGAATTTTAACATTTTTAACTTAGTTAAAATCTTTAATTAAAAATTCATTTTATTCTAGGGCAAACTACCGAACCGCTGAGGGACATTTGGAACTCTGTCCTTAGCCAGTCGACTGAGGCCGTGAAGAAAAACCTCAAGTTCGAGGCTGCCGAGTCCATCATGAGGAATAAGCGGAAGAAGAACCTGCCTCCGATTCCCAAGAATCTGGCAGAAATGAAGGAAGCTCTCGACAATGGACATCCGTTCGAAGACATCTACCAAGGTTTCGTCGAATTCAAAGATGGGAAGGTCGGATTCATTTTTGCAGACCCAAAACTTCTCGCTCTCGTTGAAAGTGAGTACACTGATTTAATTTGCGAGTTGTTTTGATACTATGTTCTATCAAATTTATCATTTTGGGTAATTTTAAATTGTTTTAAAGGGGTTAGATACAACAACTTTTTTATCTTTGTACAATTACTTTTAAGCAAATTTATAATTTTGGGTATTTGTTTCAGAGACTCAAGAACTCTTCGTCGATGCCACCTTTAAAACACGGCCTCACCACGATATCTTTTCTCAACTGTTGAACATCATTGTCATCTACAAAGATTACTCTGTCGCGGTGATGCATGTCTTAATGACATGTATGTCTTAATGACTTGCATGTCTTAATGACATGCAAGGAGCAAGCACTCTACGGCCAGATCATGGAGCGGTTCAAAGCTTTGGTTGGATCGGACTTCAAGGCAAAAAGTGTGATGTCGGACTACGAACGGGCGATCCTGAACACCATGCAAACTGCCGTTCCGGAATCGAGAGGATGGATGCAGACTTCACTTCTGGATGCAGAATATCTCACCACTTCACTTCTGGATGCAAAGTCTGGATGCAGACTTCACTTCAGCCAAGCAGGTAAATAATATTTTAACCATTTAATTGATTTTTAACACGTTATTTATCTTTGTTATTTACTTCTTTTTAGTTCTCCGGAAAGTGTGTGCTCGCAACAAGGAGGATTTCTATAAAAATGTTGAGTTTAGGAACCTGATGCTCAAACACATGGCCCTAAGCACTCTACCGGCGAACCAAATGGTACCGGTATTCCAACAGCTGAAGCAAGAAGTGCTCCACTTACAACCACTCAGGCTCCGGAAGCAAGTCCAGATAATGCACAGGAATTACTTCTTAAAGTGGTGGTTCCAAGGCATTGGGCCCCAGCTGATCTCTACGTACGGTCTTGCACATAAGACCAACAACGTCTGCGAAAGTCTCCATAAGAAGTGAATTATTTCTTAACAATATTTTTGAGTTAACAATGTGAAAATATTCACGATCTGGTTATTTTTGTTGTTCATTATTTATAACTTTTCCCAAATTTTTCAGAATGTCTTTGAAGCTGGCGAAGGCGTCGACAATCTGGAGATTCCTCTCAGATCTGAGGATGTTCGTCATCGAGCCAGCAAAGATCGATGTCCTACAGTTGGACAACAACATCAGGATCCGGAGGAACATCAAATTATCGAACCAGGTAGCGGCCAGAACTGTGAAGAATAAGAAGGAGCGACTGGCCAATGGGGAAATCACCCCCATTCAACACCTCCATTTTATGGCCCACAGAGTGCCCACTCCGGTTCTTCCGAATGACCCAGATCAGGATGAGGCCGATGCAGAAATGGCCGCCGATGGCTACGCCGATGATGAGGATGGCGACGACGAAGTCTTTGACGAGTAAGTATACCAAGTATAATTTCAATCATTTTCTAGTAATTTCTATTTATAATAAGATGTTGATTAATTTCATATGAAACTTATCTTTAAAATGTGTTCATTAATAACTTATCTTTAAAATGTGTTCAATACTTTCAGACACGGAGATGATGACGCATTCCTGGCAGCCGCAGGGCCACAGGCAGATGGACAACAGCAACCGGGTCACGCCGCCGCAGGTCCAGCAGCAGAACCGTGTTGCATTTGCATGGCGAGCCCCAAGGACACAATACTACTGCCGTGCGGGCATGTCTGCGTGTGTTCAACATGTGCAGCCCTTCTCGAAGCCCAAGGACTTGACGATGAACCCGAGGGCGTCTATTTGTGCCCCGTATGTAGGACACGGGTTACTTCGCGACATCGGCTGTTCTACGCCTGAAAAAATTGACTGGAAATGGCTTTCTATTTCCTATTATTTTTACATCTACTTTCATTTTTCATGTATTTTTCTTATAAATTGACTAAATAAACAGATTTTACCTTTGATAACACTTTTATGATTTCCCGAGTTTTGTACATTTTGTACCGCGGGTGAAGAAGAAACTTTTGTAGGCTAACCCCTTGGGGGTCTCTGTAAAATACTTCATTTTTTGGAACCTCTTTGGGGTTCCTGTCTAGTGGTTATAGTACTCGCTTCTCACCCGGACGACCGGGGTTCGAGTCCTGACAGGGATTCGAAATTTAGGTTTTGTTTTTTGTTTAAAAAAACATTCATAAAGAGAGAGAGAGAAATGCCTTAAGGGACTAAGGGAATTAATGGGTCAGGATAAACTGGTCAGCTGATTTGTACAAACTCCCCCCAGCGAAAAATAGGCCGTTTCACAAGCGGTTGATTTGTTTTTGTTATTTTTCAAAACACTGTGCTCAATCTGGGGGGAGTTATTCGTAACTCATATTTACTTTGGACAACTGATAAGATGCTAACGCTAAATGTACGCCAGTTTATCCGCGTTATTCAGATGAACAGTTAACTATTTGTAGTTGAAGCTAAATTTTTTCACCATGAACATCTTTGGTTTTTGGCCTTTGGCATTTGGTCTTTGGCCAGTCATAAATACTACAGAAACAACAAGCATTGCACCAGACCCACTATTTGAAGACCTCCTGATTCAGGACAGGCTTGAAGTTGAAAAAGGACTGAACAACTTCACTACAGCTAACAGGCTTGAGATGGGACCCCTTGAGATCTGGCTTCAAGTCGACAGAGTACTGAAGAAGATTGAAAGGAAATTATACTTCAAAAGACGTATAGTTGCCAGAAAAATCAGACAAAACCGAAGAAACAAATCAGAACTTCACAAATGGCTTCTATTAGAAAGAGGATTGAAGGACACCGCCAATAAGATAGTCGACAAAAGACGTATTGTCTCAAGAAAAGTCAGACAAATGCAAGCCGGAAGAAAATAAGTTGTTCGTAAGCATAATAAGTACAATAAATGATTCATAACCATGTTTCTTTTATTTGTCTTTTATCATTGTGATAAAACCATTCATAAATTTTGCGATCTCAAGCTGGCATCGGCAGCAGAGTACCGGCCCCATGATTGAAAGGTCCTGGGTTCGAATCCGATGCCAGATCGAGATTGTTTTTATTTTTTTTGAGTAATAAGAAGAATCCATATTTTGAGATTGTGAGAATATTCACGATCTTAAACCTTGTTCTTTTTTTGTAAGATGGCGTTGTAATTACTAAACTATTTTTAATTAAATAAAAACTATTTAATTAACTATGGCCCCACTGTCAACATAACTTTTAGCAAATTATCCATTGTCCATACTATTAGTTACGAAGACCCTGCCTGTACTTTAAAGTAGTAATGCATGAAATGCATTCAAAATAGTAAAATACTCATTGGTTTAGTATTATACGTTATAGACGGTTAATGTGATTGTCATAGTTTAAAGTATCTTCCTTAATGGCGAATAGAACCTAATGGTTATTTGTTTATTTTTAATGGTCTCGACATTTGCCGGGACCTGAGCCATCAACCTTTGTCATTTTTATGATCTATCTCCAGAGGGCGCTATCTATGGACTTGTCCATGATCTTCAAGATCAACAGATGGCGCACATCGCAACTAATGAGATAGACCAAGTATTTATGTTTTCTTTGATAATCTACTGAATTTAAACTTGAATTAAATCAAATGAACTGACCATTAGTAATATTACGACAACGAGAAGTAACTTGCATCCAGGTAACAACAAAATGAAAGGCAAAAACAAACTGTAGCCAATCGATGGATGGATGCGTTATTGATGGCCTGGATAAAACTTTCAGACAACTTTGCCTCCGGGCCCTTACAAAGGTCCGTACCCAATGATGAACTGATGCGTTCGCGCAGGTTCAGACATTACCATTTTTTAGGGCTATTGAGGCGACGGCCCATTCATTTTATAAACCGTATTACCGTAATACTATGTATGGTAATTCATATTCATAGTAAAACTACTCCGGATTGTTGAGAATATTCACGATCCTAAACCTTTGTAAATAAATAAGAAGTGATTGACGGTTAAAACAAATGTTTTTATTTCAAAAAAAAACCCTGACATTTTGACTCAAAATACGTACAGGCTAGTGGTTATAGTCGAATTTTGATGGTTTGGGTGGTTTAATTAATTTTTCGACCGGTTTAATTAAATTCAACTCTTTTGATGACGCTGCCAAATTTTTTTAGCCGTCGACTGGTTTATGTGGCAGCCACAGAGAATAGTCGAATTTTAATTTCGACTGGTTAACGGACTTGGACAATGTATTTTTGTCTTTCTACTAAAAATAGTGGCATACTTGTATAATAGCCGAAAACATTTTCGACTGTTTGTATTCTTTGCCAATACGTATTTCGATGATTTAACAAGTCCACCAATTCTTCAGAAAAAATTCGACTCAAATCAGGTATTTGTCATTCGTTTATTTAACAGATAGTGGCAGAATTCGACTAAAACACAGAAATTGACAAAATTTAGGGTATCGACTATTTTTTGGACTGTACAAAATTCGTGTATTAAACAGATTATGACAAAATTTAGAAGAATTCTACTATTATTAGTGGCAACCAGTGAATAATAGTAGACATGTTATTTTTTACAGTTAAAATGACATTCGACTGGAATCGGAAAGTGTTTCTTCTATTTTCGGGTTTTGGGATCGACTAATCGTCGAAATTGGTCTTTCGGTTATTCGACGCGCTCCCGAGTTTTTTATATTAGTTATAAAGCACCGTAAACATTAAGGTTTTCTCTCCCAGTCCAGAAGTGAGATCTGTTAGATAATAATGTTATCAAAATTTTCTCAAGTTATGATATCAAATAATGATATCATTATAATAACATAGTGATACCACAACTTTAGTTAGCTGACTTTATATTGGAATTTTATATATTATTTATGAAGCACCATAAACATTAAGTTTGTCTCTCCCAGTCTACAAGCAAGATCAGAATATGGTATCAAAACTTTCTCAAGTTATGATATCAAATAATGGCATCATTATGATATCAAAGCGATATCATAATATTACCAAGTTAACTTATTTTATTATCTAATTTTATATAACAGCTTAAAGGAACCATATGGTTCAGCTTTAAGGAACCATATGAAACGGTTATGGTTTTCTCTTACTATGTTCAAGTAACATGTTTGAATTTTTAAAATCATTTAATAATATTATTATGATGTCAAAAACTTATCATGTTGTGATATAAAATACAAATTGCTTCCGTATATACTAATTTGCGGAAAAACCTAAAGAAAGAGATAGAAATAATGAAAGAACGTCTGAGTTAAAAGTAGTTATTTAAAAATATTTTAAAAAAGAACTATGATATCATTATGATATAATAGCTATATCGACACTTTACCAAGTTAACTTATTTTATTATCTAATACTTACAAGGATTATCTAATATTATTATCTTATATTTACAAAACTTATTTTATTATCTTAA